GGTCCGGTACAGGCGCGACACTGAGGGTTGCGATCCGTTGCAGGACACGAAAAAAGACAAAAAGGAAAAAAAAAAAAAATGCCAGCTGCTGTTACTGCTGCGGCGGCGGCCCCAGCAATGCTAGGGGTTCTCAGCAGCAGGAGGTACAGGAATCTTTTTTGTTTCTCAAACGAAGTTGAAAAACTGAATCTAAAAATAGGAAAAAAAAAAAAATTGTAAGTGGGCATTTTGCTAGGTCTGGCTTATTTGTGCCTGTTTCCTGTGTGAAAGGCTACGGCCTTCCTGCCAGGGTCCAGTTTTCCCACTTGTTTTCTTTTCGCAGTCTTCACCTGTGCACAACCACACCCAGTGGAGGAGACCAAATGTGACCTCGGTCACACAGAGAGCAGCCCCTTCTGCTCATGTCCTCCAAAGTCATTACCCAGCCCCAGAGCATGGAACTCGTGTTTCTAGGTGTTCAGACACTTAGCATAGTGGGAAAGCATTCACGTTCTGATGGCAGCAGCCACAGAAGCTTGAAAACACTTCTGAATATTTGATTTGGGCTCAACTAACCCCTCCCCCCTCTATAGAGGTCAGGAAGTTGAGAAGACCCCACCTCCTTCCTCTCTTGCCCCCTCTCCCCAGGCTCCCCACCCACCTTCACCTCATCTACTCAAGGCAGAGCCCAGGTGACCCCAGTAACAGACAGACTAGTGGCCACAGTGCTGCTGCTCAGGGACTAAACACTGGCGGGTTCTCACTCTGCTGGGTACTGCTGGGGACATGATCCTATCTCCTCTCACCACAGCCGTTTCAGGCAGGTGCTTGTATTCCCATTTACTCAGTTAAAGACACCAGGATGCAGAGTCGGTAAATAACTTGCCCCAGGTCACGTTACTGTCAGTGACTCAGTGGGAGCTATCAGTGGGAGCTGGGGTACAGCCCTAGGTGTGCCTGGCTCCCATGTGAGCAGGAAGGAAGGGTAGGCACCCACCTGGGTAGTCACAGGTGGGTACTGATGGAATGGGGAGAACAAGGATGGATGTGCAGAAGGGTAGCTGGAGCCTCACCTGCTGTGAGGCCAGAAGCTGCTTGCCCTGGTGTCACGTGCTATAGCCAAAGCAGAGTGAAGGGCTGAGCATTCCAGCCTGCATCTCCAAGAGGAAGTGTGTTCTGAGGATTACAAGGATGGAGAGCCACACCAAGGAGAGGCTCCTTTGGGACAGAATGCCTAGAGTTCCTGTTTGGACTGCTGAATGATTAGCCATTGCTCCTTGAGACACATTGCAGTTCTAAGAGGGAATGTGGTAGCCTGTCCTTAGGATTATACCGAAGAGGTGGTATCTGTCCTAAAGAGTGGATGTTGGTATTACCCGGGGTCACTGGGCCTCTCCTGTGAAGGTGAAAGGACGGCTCACTCTGACTGAGGGCAGCTGTAAAACAAGGCAAATCATAACTAAAGCCAAAATGTTTCATTATTTTAGTTATTATTTTAGTTATGCTAAGTTTTCATTTACATTGTCAGGGCTAGGGCTCAGTCCCTTCAAACCCATTGTACAGGCTGGGTCACCAGACCCCTCACACGCAGGCCCATGCTAGGTAATTGGGAAAGATCCCAGGAGCTTTTGGCAGACGACGGGAGCTCAGTCTTTAGCTTCCTGAACAGCAGCAGCTTAGAGGTCCAGTAGCTTACAGCTCTGGCGGTGGCCTCGTGGAGGGTCCCAGGGGCACTAGCAGCAGCCACCAGCAGCAGTATGGGCATCTCCTGTAGTTCCCCCTGCCCACCCTGGGGGCATCCAGAGGGTGGGGGACACTAGATCAGAGCCACTTGTTCTTTATACTTAAGTCATAACCTAGGACACCTGGGTGCATGTGCGCAATTACATTAGACAATAACCAAGGAACACCTGGGGGCACGTGCATATTTACATCAAATG